CCCTTTCCTCCCCTCCCCTCCTTTTTCTCCCCTCCCCTCCTCCCTCCTCCCCTCCCCTCCTCTCTCCTCCCTTCTTTCTTCCCTCCCTTCCCTTCCCCTACCCTCCCCTCCCCTTCCCTCCCCTCCCCTCCCCTCCCCTGTATTACAGCCTTAGTAAACTGTAATTGGCAGCAGTGTGTGGTCTGCTGTCTGTTTTTAGGTAAGTTCTGTACATCCTGTTTGATTTTACGTTTCTCCTGCCCATTTAATCAAGCATTGTCTACTCCTGCTGGGAAGCTAACACAGTGAAATTGAGAAGTCTTAAAAGGTGCTAAGGGCCTGGGCTTTGTAAATAGATTTGAACACCGTGAGGCCGGCTGTGCTCTCTTGTAATCATGCAAGGTCTATTTTTGCTTTTGACTTATACTGGTGGAGTTAAATAGCCTTGACAGACACCAGATGGCCCTTAAACGTACAATATTTATTATCAGGCTGTCTGCAGAAGCTTGCTGAGCCTCTTTTGATATCATTACTTTGTATATCATCAAGATTTACATCACTTTTGCTCTGTAACCTTAATCCCCGTGTTCACTGTCTCGTTATATTTCAGTGCTGGCTACTAAACCTCTTTCCTATCACTCTTCCAATGACGAGTCCTGTATTTTTTATTCCTTCTTACGTCTTATCAGGTAGTTTCTTCAATAAAGGTTTATAAGGCTGAATTCCCCTTATTCATATTCAAGGGTGAATCTTGAATACAAATTTACTTTGCTGTATCTTGGATGGCTGTTACAGCTTTCCTTAAAGAACAACATAGATCATTGTCTAACTGAAATATGTGAGCTATGTATGCAATCAAAAAATTCAGGTAGTCACATAAAAATAATCTTTGGAAACAGGTGAAATTAATTTATCTGATTTAAATCCATTTAATATTCCAACAGGGAATCAGTGTAAACTTTTATTGAGATTTCTACTTTCGCTTTTACTTTTTGGAATGTGGTGTATATACACACGTGTGTAGGTGCATACATGAAGGTATGTGGGCAAGTTGGTACATGTGTGGGTGTGCTCAGAGACCAGAGCTAGGCAAACACTTGCCTACTGAGCCAGCCCCAATGCCGTACAGTGTTTTTTATGTTAACCGTTTGGTTTATCTTGTCTGACTTATGCAGATGCCATATTGTTCTATTACTCAAAGCTGTTCGAAAAAAATTTCCTCTTTCTTGTTTACCTTCTTCCCCCTCCCTCCCAGCTTGTCTCCTTTAAGATTTATGTAATAGTTGCTTTTCCTATTTTCCACAGTTTCTTTTTACTGTTAAGTCTCTTATTTTTAAGTCTCATGGGCTATCGTTGGTGGCTATGGGTTTTTGATTTTCCAGCCAGCAGCGACTTTCTGTTTGTTTTTATGGGATGTTTTCAAGACAGGGTCTCATATAGCCCACAAGAAACTCAAACCATGTAAGGAGCTGAGGGCGACCTTAAACCCCTCAGCCTCCTGGTCCTACTTTCCAAGTGCTGTAACTGCAGGTGTGAAAAGCCTTCCTGCGTAGTCTCTGCTGTCTTTTTCTTTTCCTTGTGTGTGTGGCGTGTGCGTGTGTGTGCACCTGTATGTGTGGATGCCCATGCCTGTTTGCGTGTGAGCAAGACAAAGACTTTATGTTTTATTTGAGACAGAGTCTCTTCTTGGACATGATGCTCACCGATAGGCAAATCTAGCTGAGTGGCAGATGGTCAGATCATCCAATCGTTCCTCTTCCCCGCCCTGGGCTGGGATCCAGGTGTACGCTGCCATCCCAGACCTTTTACATAATGAGAGTGCTGGAGATCTGAACTCAGAGATAAATGCTTGTTCAGCCAGCACTTTACCTACTGATTCATCTCTCAGGCCTGTGTACCCTTCCTGATCCCATGGGGCTTTAGGAGGTCCTCTATGAGAGAAACAGCAGAGTCCTGGGCTTGATCCCCAGTCTACCTAGAACCTTGGTCATCTGTAAGTTTCCTGACTTGATTACGGAACAGATAAAAGCACTTAAGCAGCATCCAGATAGGACCTCTCATCATCAATCAGAACTGGACCTCACTCAGTGTTTCTCCTCACTGTGGTTTGCTACCTACCCATTCCCACCATGAATTCCTAGTTCTGCACGTTGCTCAGTGTCCTGTAACTCCTGAGGGAGGGAAAGTGTGTGCACCCACAAGCATGGGGTGGGAGTATGGGATGGGGTTCAGCTCTGCTTTCATTTTGGGGTTCTCCTTAGTGGATTCTTCTCCCTAGTTGAGGCATGGTCCATCTCTAGACTTTCATCGCCATTGACACTGGATTCACAAGCATCCTGAGAACTTCCATAGTTGCATCTCCTAGTTTCTTTGTGTGTGTGCGTGTGTGTGTGTGTATAAGGAGCAAGGACTAGTCCTGAAACTTTGCACAGAAGAACGACTAGGTCTCACCCCTAAGCCTACAGAAACTTCACTTTCCATGACCCAAGCAGGCATTATCCACTAACCATCATGCCTGTGGATCTCTTTTTAAACACAATTTATTTTATGTGTTTTATCTGGATGTATATATGTGCACCATATGAGTACAGTGCCTGCTGGAGCCAGAGGAAGGTACTGGATTTCCTGGCACTGGAGGTATGGACAGTTGTGAGCCACCAAGCAGATGGTGGGTACTGAGCTCGCTCTAACCACTGGGCCATCTCTTCATCCCCACTTGTAGCATCGTACCATATGCTTTACAGTGAACTCCTTTCACACTTCCTACAGGATGTCCCCATGCTTCTAGCAGAGGGAGAAGATGTATTTCCTAGAAATATGGGAAATTTCTAGGGCATGAGATTCCTGCATTCTCCCAACTCTCTCGAATATGATTTGGGGATGCAAAAACCACAACCCAAGCCTGTGGCTTCTTCAGTTTCTGTTGTCGCTCTGGCTGGTTCTTCCTTTGCTTTTTTTTTTTTAACAGTGAAATCTCTATGCAGTTCTTCTTTTTCTCCTTTTCATAGATGTGTCTCAACTGTACCAAGGAACTCCTGACAGTCTTTATTATTGTGTTGTCCTAGATGAAGCTTAACATTCTGAAAAAGAGACAGGAGTATGTGATGCTGATGGTACAGATGATGTGTCAGTATCTGGATACACCACGAAGGGTATAAGTCAATTGTTTATTACTCTGGAAGGGAATCTCTCCAGGCAGAGTTCTTTGCTCTTGGACTTAAACAGAAAAATTTAACAAGTGATGTAAACAAAAATGTAAAAGCTACTTTTGATCAGGCTTAAAATCTGAACAATCTAACATACTGGAGGTTAAAGATTAAAACATGAACAATCTAACAAGCTGCAGGTTAAACATTAAAAGGGTCTAAATTAGCATCAACCTGGGGAGTTGAATTATCCTTTTACAGGGGTCACCTAAGATCCCAGAAAACACAGACATTTACCTTCATAACAGTAAAAAAAATATTGTTGCAAGTAGCAATGAGAAGAGTTTTATAAGGTTGGGGCTCACCACAATGTGAGGCACTATATTAAAGGGTTGCAGCATTAGGAAGGCTGGGACCCACTGCTCTAAACCATCTCACCAGGGCAGGCTCCTGGGTATGAAATTCCTTGAAGTACGTTGATTTCCATCACCTTCTAAAGAATAATGCTCAATAGTAAGAGACAATGTCCCTCAGAGCTTCCACTGAAGCTTTTGAGGAAACAGAGATCAACATGATTAGATCAGTTAACTATACATCTGCTGCTCCCCACAAAAAGCCACCACAGTTTTATATAGCAAACATTTGCCAGAAGACTTGAGTTCTGACATCTAGATACCTTGTTATATGACTCTTTGTAGCTATAATTTCTAGCTCAGTGCATTTCATGGGACAGATTCTTCGTTATTGTTGATCAAATAGCGGCTATAATGATCAGAACATAAAAGACGTCGCCACTAAAGGGGAAGTTTCAAATATAGAGCAGTAGGGATAAAGAAGAGTCAATAGGGAGTTAACCATGTTCTGTTGGGTCTGATGGCAGGGGCGGGGGTGGCGAGGCAGAGAAGATGAACAAGATGGAGGATAAATATTTGGGCTCAGACAGTTTCAACCTGTCTCAAAAGATGAATTCTGATAGATGTCAGAAGGAGACAGCTTTGCACTCAACATGAAGGAGAACTTTCTATAATCAACAGAGATGGTGATGTGAATTGCTGAATGGCCATCCACAAGACGCAACGTAGAGGGAATTCCTTGCCCATGTACACGTGGGTGGCAATTTTCACGGACAAGCAGTCTAACTCAAAGACCAAGTTAAAATATTTATTGGAGGGGATGGAGAGATCTCAATGGTTAAGAGCATGTACTCCTGTTGCCAAGGACCTGAGTTCAGTTGTCGGCACCTGTATGTGGAAGTTCTCTTCACCATTGGGTGATCTAACACCTTTTTATGGCCTCCATGGGCACCTACACTCTTGTTCATATACCCTCCAATAAGTATGCAATTAAAAGTAGTTAATACATTTTTGAAGAAAGAGAACTTATGGGATGTGTGTATTTTTCCATCCCTGACAATATTGCCCTAAAAGATCTTCAGTCAACTTGGCTAAGCGACACTTTTAAAAAATAAATTTGTTTTATTGCATTCATCTTGTCACAAGGTAGGGATTACTAGATATTTGCTTCATGAATGCCCAATATTTTGTCGGATTTGGGCATTTCTCTTTCTGTTTATAAGCCCTTCAATATTTTTGTCTGAATCTAAGAAGTAATTCTATAGCATTTTCTCATAATAGGATCGCGATGGTGATTGGCAAAGGCTTTAAGATATGACTATTTCTACGTATTTCACAGGTTCTGTTCCATATTTAGGTGAACACTGAGGATTAAAGTTCTTTAAATGTTAGCTTTTCATTTTATTGTGTCCCAAGTATTTCAGTAATAAAAGGTTTAGTAAGTTCAAGTACAGCCAATGATGTGCTCTCAAATAATTCAATGTAATTCTTCAGTTTGCCAACAGCACAAGTCAGCAGTCTTCTACACTGTGTGCTTTCGAGGAGGTCGCTAACATATTTTTGTCCTTGTTTTTCTGGATCCTGGATTTCCTGCTTATAACCTATGTCTCTGGCTTTGCTATATTGCCTCAATATTATTCTCATCTTAATGTGGCACCACCCAGTAACATCCATCTGTAGGGTTTACTGCCACCATGCTGTGTCTGCCTCTATGCTTGTATTTTCTATAGAAAATTCTACATTTCTCACAGCCATCCCAGCCTACCAGTCCCAGCTCTTGTCATAGCTGTCCACTTGGATGGGTTTGACAAAGCCTTGGGATCTTCTTTGCTGTGGTAGGCAGAATGTGGCGTCTCTCAGCTGCTGGAGTGTCCAGCATGGTTTGTCATCTCTCATCATCCTTAGGAGTCTGACTTCTTAGGCTCCCTAAGTCCCTGGGCTTAGGGTACTGGAGTTTGTTTCCTTGCTATTCTGGGGACCTGAAGAGTCTAAGATAGACATGTCCACAAGCTGATTTCTATCTGGGCTTACTTTCTCTGGCTTATCAATGGCTGCCTGTGTTCTAATCTCTTTATGAGGCTATTGGTGGGATTGGATTGGGGCCCATCTAATAATTTTATTCTAATCTAATTACCTGCTAAAGCTTTGTTTTCAAACACTGTAACATTCTGAGGAGGGCAATCAGTGGAGATTTCTGTGGGGGGAGGTTTGAGACTTAAACATTCACCCTTGAGGAAAGGTGGGAGAATAAAGTTTAGTCTGCCACATGTATGTACGGGAGAGCTTTAGAAGAAAACCCCAAGCCCGAGGAGTTTTACATTTATCTGCTTTCTTATTTTTCCATGAGGCAATCAAGAGGAACCCAGGTGGTTTTAAAGCATCGCTTTTGAGGGGGTTTTATAACTGCTTCTCGAGCAGCAGGGAAATGAAACTGGCCAACATGGTTTTTCTGACTCTTGCTCTTCCCACGTTTCTGAGGGAGGATGATTCATGGACCAGATAGGACTCATGGGTTGTATGTGGGCTATGCTGCCTCTATGTGACCTGTAACACATGTGGGATCCGAAGTTGGCTATCAAGCCACTCTTCCGATAAATACAGCATTTCTAGTCTCAAACCAACCTGAACACCAGTGTTTTCTCAATATGCTATACACTATAGTATGAAGTCACGTAGGAATCCATTTAATTTTGTGTGTGTGCTGGTGTGTATTCATGGGTGGGGGGTACACCTGTGTGCCTGTGAAGGCACTGTTGTTCAGGTGCTACCTTTCTGCTTTCCTTGAGGCAAGATCACACTGGGCTGGGGCTGCCAAGTAGCTCCGGATACCTAGAATACCTGTCTTTACCTCCCTACCACTAGAACTACAAACATGTACCATCAAGGCTAGCCTTCTCTTGGTGGCTTTGGGGGATCCAGCTCAGTACCTCACGCATCAGCATTTACAGACAGAGGCTCTGTCCTGCTTGCTGTTTTCCCTCTTGGATTGTAATTCCTTTAAGAGGCAGGTTTATGGTTTGGAGCGAGAGCTGCAGGTGGGGACTGGGAAGGTGGAGAAAATTACCGTGAATTTGCTTCTAACACAGGTGCAAGCTTGTGGACTCTTGTATCTGCTTTCTTTGCTTTGGGCTTCAAAAAGACAAAAAAACACACCAGTAGGCCCAGGAAGGTGAACAAGAGAAATGTTTCCTAGCAGGTGCTGAAGAACCCACCTCCCTCACCACCGCCATTCCCAACCCCTCTACACTCCTAAGCTTATTTTATGAAATCCAGATGCAACAAGGTTGCTGGAGTAAAGCCCACCTTCCACCAGGAGCTCACAAGACTTACATGGTGAAGCTGAGTTGCCTTCCTGACGGTAAATGTGTTGAGCTTGTGTGTTGGTTGGATTTTGCTGAGCGTGTTTGGGGGAGGAAATGAAAGCAGGGTGAGCAGCCAGCTTGAGAGAGAGAGAGCTCGAGACATTTCCATTTTCTGTGTATTTCTAAGGCATTGTGTCACCCCAGCATTTTAGAACAACTCTCAGCCTCCCTGGCCATGTGTTAAGTGAGGCCTTTATCTCCCCCTTTTCCACAGGAAAACTTAATTTAGCTGCACTCACCACTGCTAAGTTCTCTGTTTTTATTATTTGTCAGTGTTTGTATTAGGCACCTCCCTCTTCTTCCTTCCTCTGGGGCCCCTTCCGCTCCACACCCCTGCTTTCCCTACCCAGCCCCCGTGGGCTGTGATGTATCCTACTTACATTTACAAAACGTTTTTGGGGGAGGACCTCTCTAGGGGTAGTGATGGCTAACCATAGGAACTTGCAATGGCTTGCATATTACAAGGATGAATTTGGAGACAGCACACAGTTTATCACTTGCCTCTCGGACCAACACACACACACACACACACACACACACACACACACACACACGTAGATAGTCTCTATATAATGGTATACCATGCATTCTGGGAACTCTGAGGAGTCAGTGTCTTTGGCTTCTCAGTTGATGATGATGTCACCTGTTTCAGATTCTTGAGTTTTTCCTTTTGGAGTCACAGCTTCTATATCTGCTGACCTGAGCCTGCAAACCATATATATATGGAGAGAGAGAGAAAGAGAGAGAGAGAGAGAGAGAGAGAGAGAGAGAGAGAGAGAGAGAGAGAGAGAGAGAGAGAGAGAGAGGAAAGGCAAGTATAGAAAGAGATTAATAAATCTCTCTCACCACAGTCAGTGATTTAGCCCCAACCCTATGCCCACCATATTCTTGCTGGCTGTGTGGCCTTGGGTCACTTGTTTTGTCTCTTTCTGTTAAAGAAGAGCATTGGCCAGCCAGGAGCACCAGTGTGCTTTCCAGCATGTGGCTGTCCAGTGGTCAGACATTCTTGCTGAGCAATCACCAATGGTCTTGTCCCCGTTGGGCTGTGCTTGCCAGGAAGTTCTTTTGACTCATCCTTTTCTCAGACTGAGATCCAGAGTATGATTTATCCCTGCCAGCTGGTCTAGCCAAGAGTGAATCCTCTTTTTACAAATCTTCTAGAAGAACCATTGCCTCCAGAGATGGGGGACTTTTGTCTGATTTTGCAATGCAGTGCATTTGCTGGCTGTCCAGGAGAGACGGCCACCCCTCAGCTTACTGAGGGATGGGGCTTGAGGTCTGCTTCCCACCACAACTGTCCTTTCTGAATTCATCAGAAGCAATTGAGGAACAAATCTGCACCGGTGCTCAGCCCTGCTCCCACTGCCTGGAGGCCCAGCTTCTCAGACCTCACTCAGCTCTCTGGGAATGTCCAGGTGGATAGGACCTTGGCTGTTCTAGGCTTCTCTACATATTTTTTTTAAGCACTTTTAATTGATTTGAAAAACATGCAAACTTTGAGTTTTTAAAGTTTCTTTAATTACAGCCCAAGGCCATTGGCTCAGAAGTAGAGCTGTCAAAGAACCCGTAAATAAACACACTGAGAGGAAAAGGTGGGGCCGTGAAGGCAGTTACAGAACTCAGAGCCAAAGAACCACTCTGTGTTCGGTGCCTTTCGGGGATGTGTGTGAGTGTGTGAGTGTGTGTGTGTGTGTGTGTATGTGTGTGTGTGTGTGTGTGTGTGTGGTGTGTTCATTCATTGGATTCCTAGAATGGAGGAAAAGCTAATTCACCATAAGAACATTTAGAATAAATCTAAGAAATAGATTGTGGTGGAGGGAATACAACATTATGCTGGTTTCCATTCATTGAAGGAGAATCCTTTTCTAGGTGACTCCTACACACTTGGAGCAGGTAGCCTTTCATATAACTGTAGCTTATCGTATAGAATCTCAGCTTTTCTAGGACAGCAAGATCTTTTTTCCCCCTAATAATTTCTGATCAGAAGGCTAGAGCCTTGAACCATTCTTATCTAAATTTGTTTACCTTTTCTTAAGTCATAAAATCTAAATTTCTTGAAGAACGGATGTCTTTGGTGATGGAATGTATCAGTCAGTCATAGCTGTGGTAACAGTAGCACACAGTCCGCAGAGTCCCAAGACACGTCAACAAATTTTCTATTCCAGTTTGCATGAGATGTGGTGATCACTGGCTATGGTAGTGTTGTTCTGAGTGTCTTCTCCTGCAAGAAACCATCACATTGGTAGCACACATTAGGAAATGCTGTGTGTGTGTGTGTGTGTGTGTGTGTGTGTGTGTGTGTGTGTGGTAGAGAAACAAGAAAACAAAACAAAAGACAAAACAAAGAGTTGGCTGAAAAGTGTGAAACTTCAAAATGTTTGTGTGGAACAGAGTCTCTGTCATCTTGGCTTGACTTTAACTCAGAACTGCCCTATCATCACGTCTGACCATGTGGCAGGCAGAGAAATATAGCCCACCTTTGGAAAGAAACTATGAGTCTCCCAGAAATGGGCTGTGGTGTATACTGGGAAAAAGTCAACATGGAGGAATGATGATACCATCCATCAGTCAGGCTACTGTGTTAGACAAGTACCTTCATGAGGAAGGTGCGGCTCTGGATGGCAGCCTCTGGACCATAAATCTGCCTTTCCTGTCTTTGGGTGCTTGTTATTCAGAGAAGCCAGGGGAGAATAAGTCTTGGGTTTTCATGTTTGGGAAGGGCTGTTGGCAGAGTCTCCTCTAGGAGATAAAGTCTGTCTAGGTACTAATTCCCTGAGATCCCCTTAGGCCTACCTTTCACCAGCTCCCCCTTTCTGTAAGTTCTTCTCAGGTGTCCTCGTCCATCTTGTGATTGCTTTAGGTGGCATTGACATCTAAATGCCTGCATGTTCTTCGAATTGCTTCTGAGGTAGTGATTTGCAGATGCACAATTGCTGTGGTTCGGAGCCTGGCCAGAAGACACAATCATAGGCACAAGCAGAGACCTGGGCTTCTTGGCCCCAACATAGGTGCAGGAAGTAGAAGACAGAAAGCCAGACATAAGAATAAACACACTGATTCAGAGCCTCCTCAGTTAGGATTTGCTACCCATGGATTTTCCTTTAAAGCTATCTTGCTGTTTATCAATGAATCCTTTTAAAAAGATTTATTTTATTACTTTAAATTATGTGTACGCCTGTAGGTGTGTGCATGTGAGTGCAGGTGTTTGCCAAGGCTAGAGATATCAGATTCCCTGGAGCTGGACTTACAGGGAGTCATGAGTTCCCCAGTGGGGATGTCAGTAAACAAACTCAGGTTTCTACAAGAGCAACATGAAGTTTTAACCACTGAGCCATCTTTTCTGCTCTTCAGTGAACCATATATATATGTATACGTATACGTATATGTATAAGTATACGTATATGTATATATGTATGTATGTATATATGTATGTATATATGTATGTATGCATATATATATATATATATATATATATATATATATATATAAATTATGAAGCTTGAGCAATAAAATTATTTCTCTTGACTTCAACATGTTGTGAGGTATAGAGATGGAAGGTTGTTTTCTGCAGTGACAATGAGCTCCCATAACAACCTAAAAATAGAGGGCAAGTCGGATTTGAGTGTTGAGGAATCAGAGAAGATCCTTCTTTTTCCAGAAGTTAAGGCAACTTTAAACACATATTTAAAAAGAAAAAAAAAGTTTCTAATGAAACAAAACCAATCCTCCTATAGTTACTTGGTTTTGTTGGCTCTTTTGTAAGATAATAAACAAGTTTTGTGATGCATATACTATGGGCAATACTTTATCCCCCCCACCACTGTGTTTGCCAGAATTTAAGTCTGTGATTGATTTCTCACTGACAGAGGCTGCATGGAGCATCCCCTTAAGCCCCGCCCTTCCCACATCAGCTCCATATTCACCATTTTTCTTGTCTGAGCCTCTGCTCGATTTCAGATTTGAAAGCCTTTGAGATCCTATCTGCTTTCTGTACCCCCTTTCCACAGTTTGCACAATGCTTTGGGGTGAGTGATCAGATAATGAGTAAAATACCCAGTCTTATTCAGAAACAAATGCAGGGCAGCCGGTGGAGAGGAATGGTCGCACCAAGGGTCTTGTGCTTCTGTCCTGACAGCCCCCAATTCCCTGGGGAGAGTCCTGTAACACCTGTACCTGGACTAGGACTCTGGCTTTTGCTGATCTCTTCATATTCAAGCAGTAACCATGCCATGTTCCCCTACTTGATTCTTGGCGGTAGGAACCTACTGTTTTCAGAAACAACTAAAATACCGAGCAGAATGATGGACAGAAATGAAGATGAGCCTGGAGCTCACACTCACAAAAAACGAAGCGGCAGCTACTGTTGATGACATTATCCCTTGGGCCAGGCTCTGTGCTTGGGTTTCTATAGATGCTGTCCATTGTGAAGTGTGGACACCCGGTCTACAGAGAGCTGTGTAATTCTGCTCATCTGGCCAGCCGGGAAGCTTGGATGACAATGGCTCCTTGATTCCATAGCCGCCCCCACACTTGAGAAGCAGTTATTACTGTGTAAAACGATTCAGTTTCGACAAAGAAAAGATTGATCTGGCTTAAGTTTCTCTTAAGAGATAGTGGACTGCTTTATAGGTGTGGTTAGATTGGCCTTCTTCAGTCAAGCTGATGGACTTTCTGCCCATGCAAGACCTCTTCCACCATCCACACATACCATTATTTTAAAGTGAACTCCTCTTCCCCTTCCTCGTTTGCAGCTTCTGTCCCCTCTCCTCTCTTATCCCGCCTCAACCTGGGCTTTTCCGAAAAGTGTGTCAGGCAAGTGGAGGCACTGCCTGTAATTGCAGAGCAGTTGTTTATTGGTTTCTTAGACTCCTAGGGCTTGGCTGGTCTGTCTCATCTTAATTCTCAGTATTTCTTAGTTTTCCGCTGTCTCTATGAATCACTTGTGCCTCCTAATTCTTCACTTCAACAACAAAAAGAGTCATCTTTTACAACCTAACTGTGCATTGACGATGCTGTGTGTCAGATGAGGATGCTCCTCTGGGAGAGTCTAGCTCACATATGCAATCATGCTCTGCATGTGCTCATTGCTGCTCTCATGCTATTTTCAAAACCGTGGATGCCAAGCTCTATCTAAGGAAGAAAGAAGTTTAAGTGTATTCATCAGTGACATCTGAAATTATGAGTCGTGGCTCTTGGTCAAAATGCACTGTGTTTCCTTAGATGTACAGACAACAGTGGCTTTTTAGGATAATTTTTGAGGTGTTTACAATTTTCTGAGGTGTCTTTGTTAAGCTGACATCTTTGATAGTTCTCAGATAAGTTGCACGGACTGGGAGAGTCTCCTTATGTAACCTATCCTTGAGCAAGAGACCCAGGGAATGTCCTACTCAGATGAATTACCAGATTGTTTGGCTAGCCAGGTCAAGTTAATCCTCTTCTCATGAATGACAGCACTCATATAAAAACATTTATCCAGCTCTTTTTTACATGCCAGACACATTTCTAAGTGCCGGGAGTGCCAAGGAATGAACAATTCTGACGTGTACTTTTGCCCTTGGGGGACTTAACATGCTGACACTAGGTATCAAAACAACCTGCTTGAGAGCTTGGTGATTCCTAAAAGTTAAATAGTTCGGAACTATCAAGTATAGCTTTCATGTATGAATTTTTCAAAAGAGCTTAGGCCATCTCACCCTGTAAACAATGGCATTTATTGACAGTTTCATTGTGTTTTTCTTTAAATATCTGCAAACTCATGCAAGAGGACACACTTTCTTCAAAACAATGCTGGTAACAATTTGACATAATATGGGCAACATGCTTTCAAATGAAGTGGACCAGCTCTAGACTTATCAGGGTATTAACAAACCTAGAGTAAATGTCTATCTCACATACATTTCTGTTGGTTGTGATAAAATACACTGACAAGAGCTTCTTAAGGAGGCAAAGGTTTCTTGTGGCTTACCTTCCAAGGAACAGACCATCACGGTGACACAGTCAAGTCAGCAAGATCTTGCAACAGTTGTTCACATCATTAGGAAGAAGAGAACAGTGAATCCTTATACTCAGTGAATCTTTTCCTTTTCGTACAGTCCAGGATTCCAACCCAAGGAACATGTAACCCACAGTGGGATGGTCTTCTTGCCTTGGTCAACTATCCAACCTCATCTTTCACAGGCATGCCCAGAGGCCCATCACTCTGGTGACTCTAGATCTCAGGTCGACAACTGAGATTGACCATCCTACCCCCTAATTCCTATATAACATTATTGACTATCCAAAACGTTGGCACATGGAGGACATGGGATAGTCATTATACTTTAATCCTCTTTTGGGAAGAAATACAGATTATGTGGCTTGAGAATACAACTCACACAGAAGTGAAGTGAGTTTGTTCTGTGCTTCCCAGTTTTGTGGAATAGCTTATATTTTAGCTTTACCCACTGCAATGAGGGATGTTTTAAAAAATCTTTTCTTTATTCTTTGGACATCAAAAAAAGAACCTAAGCCTGGGTGTTATTCACAAAAGGTGGGATCGATACAAATGTTGCTACCGAGCAAGGCTTCTCAAGCTTTTCCTGTGTGCAATCCTTCTTCAGCAGAAACAGTTTATGGAAATCCAAAGATGCAGACATATTTTAAAAAGCTATATAAATCAAACATTTTCTGACAATAAATCATACATTTATTTCAAAACCCTTCCTTGATATATGCATAACTTTGGTGAATTACCACTTCCTAGATGTGTTTATTTTTACACAAAGAACTAAATCTTGGCAAAATATTTGGCACTGCAGGGTGTGGAGCATCTTTATCATTTAACGAACTGATCGCAGTTTTGGTTCTATGATGATCACTGCTGAGAACAGTGCTTTGCATAAATCCATCCATAGGAAAAATGGCAGAAGTGTAGTTAGTACCATTCCAGAGGTTATTAGAAAGCCTGTCCCAGTGTCCAACATTCAATTCATCCAAGATTCATTTAATGACTTTTTCATGAAACTCAAGTCAGCAACTCCAATAGAATTTTTTTTTTAATCCCAAGCATTCTAACACAATGAAATGTGATGATAAGCTGATTGTAGCCTTGGTGATGAGGAATAAGAGGAAAATGTGAGCGTTTGTTTTCGATAATTAAAACTTTGTGTGTACAGAAAAGACGCTGAAGTTCTTAATACACAGTTGTCTGTGACCTGAGCAGAGGTGTTCTGAGTGACATTTGTTGCCACTGTGTAGAGCGACCGCATTTGCAAAGGAAAGGATGCTTGCGTGCTGTGAACCCAGGCTTTGGCAAAGTCGTGAGAATCCGGAGGAAGTCATACAATGCAAGGAAGGCCAGTGCCACAGAAAGGCTAGGGTTCTCTCCACACTTAATTCTAAGTTTGCTTTGGTTATTACTACACTTTGCACATCGCAGAGGGTTCTGTTTTGATTTACACTAAATTTCAGGCTAGAGAACTGAAACGATTCCTTTCCTAGTCACATGATTAAAATAGCAATGGTGTGTTTATACTTCCCAAGGGTAGATGGGAAATGCATAAAACAAAACCTCCAAGCAGTTAAGTTTCAGATCTGCTGACAGCTGTGGTCCTTTTTCCTGTCCACGTGCCCAAGTGCTCATCCCAGCCAGCAAGTCCTCCGACCTTCACAAGAGAGACAGGAAACCATGACGGAGCTGGGCAAGCCCAGACCCCACATGCGGCTCTCATCTCTGCCAGCAAGTCCTCAGACCTTCACCAGAGAGACAGGAAACCATGACGGAACTGGGCAAGCCCAGACCCCACATGCGCCTCTTTCTCTGTAATTTTGGATCCTCTTGGAAACTGGACCATCCGCTCTAATTACCTATGCTGAGAATCCTGTGCACATCAGGCTGCATTTCTCAACAGCCTACCTGCGCCATGCCCCTGGAAACAGCTCAGACCTGCTCAACAGGGGCATTAACACTGGCAGTTAAGGGGGTGAACCCGTTTTAACCATAGGTTCCTGTAAACAAACGGAAGATCCAGTCTTAAGCTCGTAGACCTGAGTATGCCATCGCTGCACAGCCTCTGCCCTTTGCAAGTCTACAAAGCAGCTAAACACTTTCACCCCCCGGCAGATCTTCGTCAGATAACTTTGAGGGAACCTCTAGGCTTTTCCCCATCTCTGCAACGTCACCCACCAAAACCACAATCCCTCCAACCACCATAATGTCAGAGCAAACCCGAGCATTTGGTGCCATTCCCAGCTGTTTCTCAGTGCTGTTTACCAAACTAGAAGAACAGAAGTAAGCTCACAGCGTCGTTAGGGGTTGCTAAGTTGGGGGTGTATGATTACTACTGTCACAACAAAT